AACCTTACTCTGTCCGAGTAGTTGTTCGGCTTCTTGCTCAATGTTCTATTTATTCTAGCTTCAAGGGCCAAACATTAATAATATGTTGCATTGAGTGTCTTATCGGTCAGTAAACCCAACTCAGAGCCGTGCTCTACCTATCACACTCGTACAATGCATTTCGAGGTATCGCTTGCGCTGATAAGCATTACATCTAGGCCATCACGATGCATTTAAAGCTAGCAGTTCAGTGACCTCGGAATAACATTAATATGAATTTATTTCCTGTTTATTCGAGGATAATTTATGCTTCGAAGGCTGGCGTTGGTATTATTTTACGTTGCCATCTAATTTGCATGTAAAATAATGTCATTAACTAGTAAAAATTAATTCACTTTGGAGTTGGGCTTCTTTTTAAAATCTGGTTTAAAGCATGGGGACAAAATTGAAAGGCAGTACTCTAAGCCAGCTCATCGTAGGAATGACATCGTACGGTAGTGGACAGCTAGGACATTCGCAGCCTTTAAACGTCCAGTTCTCAATCCTTAGAATTGCTCGAGAGGCGTTGACCGAATGCGTCTCAAGAGCAAAGAAAACTGAAACTACCACCGTAAAAAATTAAGGTGCTTGCGATCTTGAACTGACCGAGCGTACGCGACGAGCTGCGCCTGGACGCAACAACCGTGCGGTTGAGTGTTGTTACTCGTGTTTTTGTTTACGTTGCTGCCTACATTGCTAGTTTAGTGTTCGGATCTATCCTGATTACAACAGGGGAATTAATGAGATTTCTGCTTATTCGGGCACAAATATACTCTTATTATACACATTAAGCGGGCCGGGATTTCTGTAGTTTTTGTGAATGATTTTACTGGGTAACAATTAATCTGATGTTGTCAACGTTGAAGTTAAAAATCAATTCTTATGACTTTAATTTCGAATTCATATTTTCCCCTTCATTCGCATTTCAATTACCCCTGATTTGGTTTCCCTTCGATAAATACATGCATCTAACTAGAGCACTTTGATGCCGATTCAGGTCAGCATTATTACTGCACATCACAAGCAAGTTTTCTTACAGTTCACATGCTTGCTGCTGTTCATTCTAACGAGATTGGATTTTTGAGCATTAGTCACGATTAGTACCAATTCTTGCTTGCATTCTTGTTTCTAACTGACGCCTCACTTTACATTTTACATCAGCTGCGCTCCTGGAATTACTTCGTCGCCTTGACGTTACCTCTATGAGGAAAATTTTATACCCTTGGTAAAGTAAAGCCTTCGCGTGTTTCTGCCACCAACTACAGTTTTACACTAATTCGGATCTCTTCGAGTTCATCTTTTCAACGTGCTATCAGAAGCAAGAATGCAGAATTGCGTGGAATATAGTTTTATTTTTTTAGCTTTTTTACTGGTTATGATTTCTTTGGATCGACTCAGAAATTTTTTCTCTTGAACACTATGAGCTTGGGTACATGAACAATTTTACGCAAAATGAGAATAAAAGATTTTGGGAAAATTTGATGTTGGTGATTAGAACGTTCTTATATTGCTTGTTTTGATGAAATGTATTGTGACCGATTAAACTGCACAAGTCAAAGAGTTGAAGTGAGCTAGACAGAGCTGCATCATTCAAAAAGATCGGACTCGAGGCCAGAAGTTGAGTGGGAGAGAGGGTCACGGGGGGCTGAGTGTGAGAGGGGACCAGGGGAGGAGGATTGACCTGGTTAGAGTTTGTAGAAGTGAAGGTTGTTCGGACGTTGACCTGCATGGCTGCTTAGGTTAGCTCAGTACGTTGGCAGACCTGTTCAAAGGAGCTAGTCCCACTCCGCTCGCTACGCCGTGAGGTCTTTACCACTAGTCTCCCGTGACTATATTTGAGCTTCTGCCTCTTGAAAAACTTCATGCTGATGCCAATAGTTTGAAGTAGTGAAAACTCTTACAAATAGTATTAACTTGCAGTAACTATCTAAATATACGATACCTGGAGTGTCATGAACTATTATTATAATTCAACACGAATTCCATCAAGCGCGTGATAGGAAGAGAAACCCAATAGTGACTATTGGCTACTTAGTGCTGGAAGTATAATCGCGTTGAAGTGATTGTTACTTATTTATCAAACATTTTCTCCAAGCTTTCCTGTTTCTCAAAACGAGGGTTGCTTTATTTTATCCTTCAAAATGCCACCCCACGCTCATAACAAAAACTGGAGTTTGTTGACTAACAAAGCGACAACGACCATTGAGAGCATCATCATAGAAGAAGTTAAATTGTTGTTCCCTAGATCCTCCTATGATATCTCGGTTGTCAAAAATGATACCTATGACCAAATGGACGTTGACATCTACGATATCAAAGAAGAACTGGATAATCGTCATCACTGTAAGTATATCCGACATTATTAAAAAAAAATTACAAACTAAACACCTGAAAAAAATTCGTTGTGTGTTATGGATTTTACTGAGACATTCCCATATCGAAAACCGTTGGTGAATTAAGAAATTTTCGTTTTTTTTTACGTGTTCGAACTTCATCCAACTGTCCATTCGTGTTGCTCTCTGGGTATTTGAATCACACCCAGGTATCGGATTTTCATTTATCGCATGAAAAACGAGTAATGATTACTTCATCCTATCGCATGTTGAATCAAGGATGATACGCGAATTAATTTTTTTCGTCAAATAAGATTATTAATTAAAAATCTTAGGTTACTAAACTTGAAACGTTCATTTTTCGACTTTTTCGCTAATTTTTATTGGTCTTCATATCTCTTTCTTGAATTTTTGAGTTTGGGATAATTCGTATTTGAATGTCACTTGGTTTGGTGCGTTTTAGTCGAATGATCGAATCTATACTGAGGTTTGGTTGACAGTTCTTTTCGATATTCTTAATGATCCATTCGCTTTGATCAGCAGTACGTTCATTTATTGTTGTAATATTTTTATATCGCATAACTGTAAGACAAATCAAAATTTTCTTCCGTTACGTAGGTTTTTGGCATTCACCTACAAAAATTATTAAAGTTTCCTGGACATTAATCGTTTTGGTTGCATTTAAATAGATTTTGCTATAATTTAAGTATATTAGCTTCCATAGGTGCAGTTATGAAACTTAACATTTGCATGTTAAAAAATTGTTCCGTGTTTATTTCAGTCCCTGCTGAAATCGAAGCTTTGGTGCATAGGGGGATTTGGGGGAGGTCACTGGCCTCGAGTTTGCCTTCATAGAAAACGGAGGCGTAGCTCCGCCCCTCAGGCCGGGACTTGCTCTCTTAACGGTGGCCATGAACGGAGCAGTCCTCTTGTCCGAGTAAATTAAACATGGGTTGCGAACCCCGAAGACTTGTACATGTACATTCTACGTCTCTCTTTTTTATCTTACTGCTTCTATGTAATTTGCTTCGTTTCTCATCAATATGTTTCAGATTCGTAGAAATTAATCGAAGCGTGGGATCCAATATTATCAATTATTATTCTTTTACATACGGGCCAATCAAAGTTTTGGTTATTTTTTTTAGATTTACGTTCCTATCGCCCTTGATTCTTTGAAGGCCACTGACCGTTTAGCTTTTCATAGCCAAGGAAAACATTAAATATTTTTCTGCCACTGCCAATTAAGTCGTACGAATTTCATTTTTAATAACGCAATTAAATTAAGTCATGCTTCTTAACGGCTGTCTATTGGTTTATTTCGTGAAATTATTTTTCTTTAACCTAGGACTTCAACTCATTACATTCATCACCATGGAGCAATTTTAATCTTGGTAAGAATTGTTGAGCACTGACCTTTTACACTGCGTTATAATTTAGCAAGCTGCTGACCGTGTAGTAGCGCGAAGATGCGTGCAGTTCATCGTGCGTCGTTGATCTCGTTCTCTCTGGTGCTCTTGGTGTGTGGGTCGTTGCTCGGCTGATGCGCTGCGGCTGCTGCTGCTGCTGCGGACCTGACGTCGCGTCGGCCGCGTCCTGTCAGTTGCACGTGAAGACCAGAGCTGTGAGGTGCGAGTATCAGACGCTCTCATGCCATACTCGAAGACAAGCATTTGAATTAGATCATATTTTAATTCAAGCTCTCTTCGTGAATTGAAACACAGCCTTTTTCTGGCATCTCGTCCACTGTCTTGTGATAATTCAAGATAATCAGCTTGTGTTGTTACTTGTTTACTAGTTGTTTTTTTCGTGTGTTTCGAAGAATGCAATTGGAACACGTGTTGTGAATTTGAATTTTCGAGTTCAACATCGTGACATTTTATTGATCAGCTAAAAAGTGTTGTGATCTACTCTGTTGTCGATATACGAGTTGGAAGACTTTGTGATCTATAACGGATGCTGATACTTTACCGGAAGTCGGTGCTGCTGCAATCGTAGTTCATTGATCCTGATCTGCTACTACTAGTACCGCGAACTTCAGTCCGTGAACTGTCGTTCAGTATATTTGTGCCATCGCTTGTCTGAAAATGATTAAAGAAGAGATGATGAGGGAAAACAGATCTATTTTGAAGTGCTTGCTACAGCACGGTCGTGCTCCTGATTACATGTATCCCAAGTACGACAGCCTAAATACCTATCAGAGGAGGAAAATTTCTCGCACTTACCCGACTTCACAAGAAGGCACTGGACGTAAGTTTCTTATTGAACCTACGGCGATAATCTGTACAAAATTAAAAAATAAATTTTATAACGTCTATTGAATTGGTTTCGTCACTATATGAGCTTTCATCGATAATTGGGAAGCTAACTGTTTGTTAGGCGTCCTGGTATTGAAAATTTAGATGAATTATTTTCACGTTTGACGATCGCGACTGGGTTGACTTGGCGGTCGGGTTGTGGGCTGATGTCGATGACCGCGCTAGCGCACGCCATAGCGTTCGTCCGCTGCTTGCTTTGTTGGGATAGAAAACCGACACGGAAACGCGTCGAAGCAATACCCTTCATCGAATTTTGTATGTAATAATTTCTTTATTTTCATAATGATGTTTTTTGTGTGACATGCCTGTAACATTTCTTATTTCTTATTTGCAGCCGTGAGGTTCGGTCGAGTTCCCAAAAATGAGAAGGAACGCATACGCCAGGCTATGGAGAAAGCCTACAGCGAAATCGTGCAGCAGGATACTGACTACGATGATGACTATCTCATCCAGAACATCACCCGTAGCCATCTGCAGTCTTCTGCAATTGCTAATGAGAACATGAGAGAGATCATCAGAACTAGTGAAGAACACCCACAAGTTGCCAATATCGATCCTATTTCGGTGAGTAACTCGTCTAGCCTCCCTACTTCTCACGGTTGACTGCTCCATGTGGTCGATATGTGACTAGTGCGCATGTGCATTCGTTGGCTTGATACACTTTGTCCTTGTTCTTGTGAACATCGCTTGTAACTTGCGAAACTTGTCTGCGTAAATGATGGGCATAGAATGTATGGGTGTGTAATTTTGACTTATTGTGCAATCGGAACTCGAAATTCTTTTCGGTCATAAATAAAAGCCTCAAAAGGTTGACACGATCGTAACGATTTGTTTCCAAAACTGTTCTTATTCGGGGAATTATTCCTTCATAATATTCGGTCCCATTCATATTTCTTGATACAGCACTGAGAATAAGTCAGCTTCAATTATTTGCCTTAATTAACTCATTTCACTCATTGTATTGCAGCAACATTCATCCTGCTCTAAAATCTAAACTCTGTCGAAAAATTAAACCTGGTAGTACTCTATCATAAACTTTGTAAATTCGTCAGCTTGACTCTCTCAGCTCACTCAAACGATAAAAATTTTAGGTTACGATGCAAATAATGTAATAATTGCAACATTGATATCGCTTACTCCCTTTCATACCGTCCTCACTTCCTCTTCTCTATCGACGTCGATAGCCAGCTCAACAATGAGTGAGCATGAGGAAGTACCTTGTCCGTTTCCTTGAAAGCTTAAACTTGAAAACAAATTAGTGGAATAACGTACATTAAAAATATTAGAACTCTTATGAGATATCTTATCACGTACGGACTACTAAATAACGTCAAATATCTAAAAACCAAAAGCTTAGTGGAAAGAGAGCAGCAATTGTTCTATTAGGCTGCTTATATGACATGACGCAGAGGGCGTCGAGAGCTCCGCCTCCTCAAGGTCATTGCTCACGCAGTTCAAGTTCACCGCGGTGCCAGCGTTCACGAGACTCTAACTTCAACACTGATTCATCCTGTACTGCCTAGTTTTTTATATACAACTAAGAATAATGACTCATAATTATAACGCATAATTGTATCTTTTTCAATTTTGTAATGGCATGAACTTTCGAACATGATTCGCAAGTGGAACCTAAAAGTGTTGAATGATATTCGAAGCATTAGTATATGGCTGTCTTCAACGACTGTTTTATTAAAAATACTGAAGAATTTTAACATTTCTTCCCGAAAGACTCACAATGCGTCTTATTTTTACAGACCTCTTGGTTTTGTGAAGATTCACGCAAATTAAGCTAGTATTAATCGTACTTATTTGGCTCAACTCTGATCGAACAAACTGACTACTCTCGTGCTGACGTCACTGTAGACCTTGAAAACCCTTACGTTCAGGGAGACAGCGTGCAACACGTGGCTCTAGTGGCACCTTTGTAATATTTCCTTATTATAATTGTCGAAGATATTTATGCGAATAATATTGGATAGGAAACCTACTGTCCAAAGAAAATGCTATTTGATATCTGCTGTATCTGTTCTCCGTAGCTAATAACAGGATCGTTTACCAAGCCGCGCTGGCGTAAAGGTCGAGAGCTCTAGTTTGCCTCAGGCTTCACGTTAGGCCTATCAGCCAGTGAAAGCAAAAGCGTACTTTTTTGTGCCTTTTCTATGGTTGGAGGTCACTAGTGAAAGTTTCGTTCTGGATTGTGTGGCAGAATTTTTAACTCTGTTTTATGCGGATAACTGATTTTGAGCAAATTCTTATTTATCTTTCACAAAATACCACTACTTTATCTAATTAGCCTCTTGAAATGAGAATGAGCGAAGTTCATTATTAACCTATTTGGCAAGTCAATATTCAACTTATAATTCAGCGCTGCAAATCTTTTCAACAAATTGTTATCTTTAAATTTGAATACAAAATTATGTTATTAGCGCAAACTCAAATAAAAAAATTCTGCCGAAACCGCACACGACTGCCAGCCAATGACTTTCAGTATCCTTGGCAGCAGAGGCAAGGAAGATGCGCTGGCTGTCCTGTGATGGCATTGAAGCGGTAGCCGGCTCCACCCCTAGATCTAATTCTACCCTACAGATAAACTGATAGGTATCATGCAAACAACTCGTGTTGAAATTTATTCGCTTATGAGAATCGTCGTGCGTGATCTTCAGGGGATTATTCTCAGTATTGGATAGTTATGCTTATCCTGGAAATTCCATCACTTGGCATGGCAACGAACGATCTGGTGCAAGGAGTCGTCTTCACCTTGCCCGACCTTCCTGCTCTCAGACTTGCGCGCCGTCATATAAGATAGCCAAGCAGTCCCATCCAATGATTCGTTAGTACAAGCTTAGAATAAATTTAACAAAAACTTGCGTTGGATACAAATGTAAAGACCTTGCATTTAGTCTTGTTTCGTTTGGATTATGTTTCTTCGTATATCATATGAACACGTACGTAATTGTGTAACGAAAATTTGTCCTCGTATTTCCTTCTTCCCATTATAATATCAGATTTGAATTCACGGAAAGACGTGCCACGCATTAGTAAACCATATGACCTTGCAGTAGCATAGCTCTGCCACCAAGGTCAGCCTACCCAAAGCTCGAGTATGCTTGCCAAGCGTTCGCCTTGGTACGTGTGACGGTCATAATTTTTATTGTGGCTTTTTGTCGTTTACCGATGAGGATGTGACTGAGAATGCTACTATTATGATCTGGTGTGAGAGTGGTATGCCTATGACATTTCATGTTACGCGTTACAAACTTTGTTTAATTAATCTAAATGAAATGTTATTGAAATTTTAATCTGAGTCATTCGCCGGAAAAATAACTTTTGTTTTTCTCTTTTGTTTTCAGGATTGCCCGTTGAATCCTTACGTTGGATCAGAAGATTTTCAACAGAAATTTTCTCCCATCGTCAGGGATGTGGTTTCCTTCGCCAAGAACATTCCCGGCTTTGCCGACGTGAAGCACGACGACAAAATTACTCTGCTCCGAGCGTGCGTGTTCGAAGTGCTGCTCATCAGATTTGCCAGGCTCGTTGACGCCAAGAATAGGAGAATGATCACGATCAGCGGATACATTATCAATGCCAGTATTTATGCCAACATCAAGCCATCAAACGATTTCGTTAATACTCTCTTTACATTTGTTGAGAGAATCAATACCCTCAAATTGACTGATGAAGAAATGGCGCTTTTCAGTGCAGCTATTGTGATGAATCCTAAGCGACAAGGACTTATTGACTCTTCAAAAGTTACAAGTTTGCACTCGAGAATCGTGCAGTGCCTCCAAAACGTCATGCAGCGGGAAAGGCCGGATACTCCGTCCTTGTGTCAAGACTTGCTGGGCACTCTCAATGATCTGTGGATATTGAATGGTATGCATTCCAAACAAACTCAAGTAAAACTGAGGGGTTGTGACCCGAGGATGGACGTCAACAGCCATCATACTGATTCTTATGGCTCCCAGTATACTTATTCAGAATACCCAGAGGTGCGTGGTTGCCCGATGAGATTCACTAACACATCAGAGTATGAAGAAAAAATAATTCAAAGCGAAGAACAAACAAGGCCCACGTCCCCAACTTCTTCGACCTTCTGCGCCGACGAAGAAATGAGATCTCCGGGATCTGCTGATTCTGGTTGTTCGACGGATTCAGGATGCTCCATCGAATCAGTCTGTTCGACAGACTCAGGATGCTCCATGCATATGGGGAACAATGAGGGTGTCCGTACTCCTCTTCCATCTGAAGAGCCTAGAGAAACTATGTCGGTACCCGACGATGAAACGACCGAAAGGTTCCGTAAATGCTACATCAAGAGAAAACCTCAGATGGAAGAATGCAAGCCCATCATCGACAAGAATCGTCTCATGTCGTGGCACAAGCCCCAGAAAGACGGTGAAAAGCTCTCTGACAGTCCAGTACTGCGAATGTGTCTCGAGGCACCTTCAACTCTGAAGATGGAAACTTTCAAGGATGTCTATCGTGGAGCTACCGCTCATTCACATCCTCACAAAAAATTTAGACCAACCATGGATCGGTCAAACCTCCCTCACGAAACTCTGGAGTACAATCATTCCTCACCTCGGCCATCCACTACCCCATCTCCATCTTTTAGCTGCTCGCCCTCTCCATCTTCATCAATCTCGTCATCTCCATCAAGAATTTCTTCTTCACCGTATTCATCCTCAGCTTCTGATCCCTCTTCCCCGGCAAATGTTTCAATTCTCGCCCATAGGTTAGCCATGCCTTGTAAGAAATTTCCCAGGACTTCGAGTTTAGTCCAGTCATTAACACAGGAATCCAAATTCGGCACTGGCAAAGCATTAGTTAGTGATACTCTTCATGATTGTATTATGAATGGCCAATCAAAGATTCCCCGACAGCATGTTTTAGCAGCCGCTTCCCCGTCACGATATGATAGCGGTCGCAACAACTCCAGTCCTCTTCGTACCCAAACTTTTATGACATCCCCCACTCATTCAATGACCACATCGCCTCCTCCTCTTGACGATGCCCCACCTCACCATTACTCATCACCTATCCCCACTGCCCACACTTCACCACCACACACTCCTGCTGGTCTCGGGGCATCGGCAATGTCTGCTTGCAATTTCACCAACCCTTACTTGTGCGACAATGCCGAGCCATTAAACTTATCTACCAAGACTCCATCTCCACCGCCCGCTATGGAAATCTAGTTTGAAGAGAAAACTATGTGAGATGACTTCGGGATGCTTGCTGTTCCGTGGTTGACCCTCAGAAGTGACCTGTGATAAGGCAATGCAGTTTCGACTAACCAACCACGAAGAAACTATGCTGCTGAATTATATGAATTCATTTGTACCTCAATAGTTCAATTATTTCGAATGTGATACCTAAATTTTCCATGTTTGGAACTAAAGGTATTTTCGCTGAGGTAGCAGCACCAGCTATGCTGGCGTAGTGCAAACGGGAAAGATTCACCCTATTTTAAGTACAAATTTTACTTCTGACGTCTTTGGCTCTTCTCACCGATAAGGCTGGTCTTGTGACCAATGCCATGTGATGTACCTAGTTCAGTATTCATCATTTGTCCATCGTTATCGTTTTGAGGACCAGAGTTTTCATTCTCATAAATTCCCATGCCTTTCGTGTAGCCCATTCACTCTAGAAGGGTCTTGTGTTATAAGATCCTCTCATATCTCACGCCACGAAAGTTGTCATCTGTATGATACAAATTCATATTTCATTGAATGTTATTGTAGCGTACCTTTAATTCTCACTCGCTGTGCATATCGTAGATATCAGAACACTTCTCTCTTTTGGGTATCTTGTGCGATCATTGTAAATAAATGACTCTCCGATTAAAAATCGCCGATGTTGAGTGCAAAAAAACAACAGGAGAAGTGGGATCCCAATTGGAGCAGCAGAGCTTGCATCTCTCTCCTAATAATTTGCTGGTTGATTCTTTTGCAGTTGATTTGTTAATTTTAGAAAAAAGGCGGCGAAGTGGCTTATACTTCGTAATTACCATTCCCCTTTTTATCTGACTCGAGTGTTATTTGTGAATATTTCTCTAATGGAAGTACTTTACCAACTAAGTAATGTTTCTTTCCTAGATCTCGCAGTATATCAAATGCTTCGTTGTTGTGTAATGATAAAACCTTGGATCATTTTGTTGTCCTCACGTTAAGACTTTTTGTATATAAGTAACATTGTACGAGCTTATTTATTCGATTATTTAAAATTTCCCAAAATTGTCGCTCACGAACCAAGGAAGTATGAAACAGTTCGCCACTCTTCTTTTGTGTTGACGATAAAGCACTTGACTGATTTGAGACTCGTTGTTTTGTTTTCTTAACGATAAATTTGATTTAAGTAATTTGATGGATTTAATATCGCCAGCATTACTTTTTTCATACTTTGTGAAGTTATTAACGATTTTATTCTTACAACTAATTCGTCATGCCATTTACTCTACAATTAAATTTGCAATAGAATACAAGATATCGGCCTTACCGTGTGAAGACGCTCACGTTCACCACGAATTAAAACAATTCTGAGTGTTTAAATTGACTGGTGATCTACGGCTACCTAATGCATGCACAGTTTCTAGCCATATCCATGAATGTGTGAGGCAAAAAGAAACTGTTAGACCATTTACATCAATTTACTGGTCGGACATGTTCGTTGTACTTGTTTCTTATTTGTACATTTGGGGAGTAACTATGATAGTTGAATAAATGTTTTGAAATACATTTCACATTGTTTAATTTTTCATTATTGAAAAGCTCGAAAACTATGGTAACATCGACGCTTGAACCTAACTCTCCTAAAAAACTCATACTTAGATAACATTTGAAGTTAGAAAGAACGAATGAAAATACGCGATCGTAAAAAATTAGGCACGAAATATACATCAAAGTAACCACCCTGCGAATAATAAGGAAATATTCGAGGCAGTCTATTTGAACAAGTTGAAAATGTTTCCTTACCATAATTATGAAATGGATCAAACCTATTAGAATTTACAGAAACAATTTATCAATGAAAGTGAAAATTGCTCACATAAAATAAAATTTTGGATTAACAACTAACCAGAAATTAGAGAACGAACTCGTAAAAGTTCATCCCCCTTCGAATTTATTTTTATGCATCAATAGATTTAAGCCTTCACTGAAATCAATATCAATACATCTAAATGAGGCTGAAATCTAAAGAATTATGTCATTGATGTCTCTGAAAATAAAGTTTGAACACAATAAAAGAATTTGAGTTAAAGTTTAAAACTAATTACAAGATGTAGATTTTTCGGTGGAGCCATCATTGTAAACTCCACGCGCTACTCTTATCCATCAATCAATAGATAAGATGCAATCAATCTGCCATTGTTACGCTGAGCCCATCGACTATAAAGAACATACAATGAAAACCACTCCAATGACAGAGTCAACATTTGCACGTGTACCTCGTGTGTAAAAACCACACGAGAAAGCCTCGTCGTGTACCTCATTGGCAATTACAGCGTTGCATAAGCTCTATGTATAATTTTTCCCAGAAAGTTTGCTTCAGTTTAGCGTTGATTGTAAATTTGTTGTATTTGAAAATTTGTTACTAATTAGCGACATCAAACGAGAACGAAATATTTGCTATTCAAACCCTATTCATTCTGTATCACATCAATGGGGATGAACCGATATTTGGTAATATTTTCTCACATCAATGGGGCTAAACCGATAGTTATTGGTATTTTCTCACATCAATGGGAATGAACCGATATCCGGTAATTTTTTCTTACATAAATGGGGATGAACCGATATTTTAGTAATATTTTCTCACATCAATAGGGACGAACCTTCATTAAGTGATATTTTCGTGAAACAATAACGGTTTTTCTTTCAAGTATCGTGTAGGCTTTTGGGATTATACCTTTATTAATTTTTTCCTCCATGATTTCACAAAACAGCGGAAATCATATCAGCTTAGCATCCCTAGCAAAGTCTTAGAAGAAGTTTACATGGGCAATTGTTCATCGAGGCTGACCACTAACCGGATGCACTGTGTTGCTCCCAGCTTATCAGGTTACGTAGCATCTAAATACAACGAGGGCTCGGTGGTCTCACAGGAGCTTTATCCTGTATGTCTTCCAACGAATCGAACACAAACGATAACAGTACTTGGTACGATCTCCGTACCGGAAATCGTTGCAACGACATGTATATAATCATAGAAAAAAGAGTGGGAATTTAAGACGATATTTAAGTAAAAATAAACGCATCAAAAGACAGCAAGACTGATTTGAACCATCAAGCTGCATGGTGCTCATAGCAACTCGATGCATGAAGCGACATAAAGCAGATTAATGCTGTAAACTTTTATTTTTTATTTGTCTAAGCATCTGCACACCTTGCGTACATCATGGTTACAAACAGAGGAAAATTTTCATACATACGCTAGTTGAAATGAAGGAAGCAAGCAATTCAAAACTCAGCGATATAAAAATATTGAATGTGAAAATTTAAATCACTAGTTTCGTTTAAATCCGTTCATGAATTTTAGAAAATTATAGTAGCTGTTGAATAGATGGCCCGGCAAAATATTAGCGCAGACTCGAAAAAAACTAAAATATATAATTAATAATAATGGTAATTTCTTGCTTAGTCATTATTTATGTTGTCAAACGCATCTATAGCGCTTTGTACATTGAATATTAAACATCCTAGACGATTTATATTTATTCATGATGCTGTTCATCTCCCATTATCCAATTTAGGCAAGTCGAATCTAACATGATGGTCAAAATTACGTTTTTCAGTTAGTTTTTCTGAAGGAAGTATACACGTGCATTATGACATAATCGAAATATCAATAACAAAGAAGCAGAAACATGGGCGATGTCTTTTCACTTTATAAACATAGTCATAATCCCTTATTTCATCCTTGTCACAAAAGAGCAATTATGTGACAGAGAGCAGCAACCTCCCTTTATTCATACCGCACGTGGAATCGTCGTGTTTAATTCTCCTGTCCTTAATGCAAGTGAATTAAATCGACGCTGAATCATTCAGAGTGTAGACGGAAATTCTGGAGATGCGCCCGTCAATAGACAGACGACCTTGAGACGCGTGCCGTCTGTCGACGCCGCTGTCTGGCTGAGCAGTGCACAACGCGGTGGGTTGGATCAGACCCTAGTAACACCACTCTAAATATAGAGTAAAAAATCATTTTAACCATACTTTCAACGCATGTTATTGTAATGATTTATTTGTTATTTTGTATTTATTTATTTATTTGTAAGGTGATTTGAGCCAAAGCTGTGAAACATCAAACCGGAGAATGGTTGGTCTGGAGGTTCAATAATGCTTTGGAAATCAGTTAATAGGAGTTTAATGTAATTTCGGATTTACTAAAATTCATTTTGTGATTACGAAATTATTATCTCGTCTGTGAGAGGAGCATCTTATTTATTAAGTTTCTATAGTCAGTTGAGAACAGAAGCTGTAGAGTTTTGCTGCGATGGTTGTGTTGTGTATATTTGAATACTCTGATTAATCAACAAGGAAGTAAAAAAAGTCTAGAAATCAGTATGGCAGCATACGTACTGAAAGCAGCAGATTTTAGTATAATCCAGAAGTCGTGAATAATATAATAGTCGATTTCACCAATAAATATTCAGAAGTATACTTTTCCACAACTGCACGTGAGCAGCTAGCGCATACAAATTAGTGCCAATAGATCTTGAAAAAAAAACATTGTAATATTTGAACGTCAATCGGTTTCTTTTCATAGTCAATGATTAATCGTACAACAATGAACTGCATTCATAAGTCGTTAATTATTCTTATTTTGTATTGTATTATTAAGATAATTTTGTAAATGATTTGTTTGTTTGTTTCATCCCAGAGTCCGTCTGATACTTTGCTGGAAAGGAGAACAGACATTTCTAATTAATTCATGAAATTTAATTTAATTATTGGAATTAAATAAATTTAAACATGAATTTCAATTGATTTAAACATGAATTTCAATTGATTTAAACATGAATTTCAATTGATTTATTTTTAACATCATTACATCGGTACAAGGACCAGGCATTGAGTGGGCAAAGTAAATCTCCCAGTAAAAATGATGTGCACTTTTTTCCACAAAATGGTCTAAGGTCGCTGTATCATTAAAAAAGTGGAATTCATGAACTATTAATGGTAATCAGACATCAGCCAAATAGCTGAAACCTCCATTCAAAACGTATAAGCAGAAGCAAAGGGATTTCCCTTAAGCTGATGGAATTTGTGTGTCGAAGAACGTAAAAAATTAGTAAAACGTAAATTTTGCACTGTGTTGAATTATTTCATGAGGTTAATAGCATAACAAGAGCGATGTTTTATTCTAGCGCAAGCACCCATATATATCAGGCAACTATATCATGCACTTCCTCCCTCCATTGCTGCTATATTATGTTACGCAATGTAACATAACATCGTTAGGGGGAACAACGTCCAAGAAGTCATTCAAAGGGCATGCAGCGCGGTATTTTGGCAGCCCTAATACATATTTTTTCTCTCGTCGCCGTACGTTAGATGTTCAACTGGAGCATACAAGGTATTTAAATCTTATCCAGTGTTGAATCGCGCAGTTTTTATTGATTCTTGTAATGCAAAACTCATATAAGGGAGTTATAAAGGTTTCCCCAAAGTTTCGTGAAAATAAGATGATTCGACACTTTTATCATGTTTATTGAAGGTGAGTCTCTGCACATAAAAACACGACCATTTTGTAATACGAGATAACAGGTTAACGTGGTATTTAACAATATGGTTCATGAATATAACATACTATATAAATACATCAGACTAAATTAGCTCACCGAATCATCAGAGGAACTGGGGTAAATTTCAATGGGTAATAATCTTGACGAAACGAAGAGCGAATTCAAAGGTTGCGTAGTGTCGTAGGTCTATAGTCGTGCTGTGTACTGAATGACATTGGCTCCTGACGGTACCTCCTATTACAGCGTTAAGGGATGGAATCAGATGTGCACGAGAAGCCTCAACAGGAGTATTATAAATATTGATGAATAACCTGACAAAAGTATTTCTTTTCAACATTTAAATCCGAAAATAAACAGTGTAAGAAATTCATCTGTTAATATGTAATTCAAACTAATCGACTAGGGATGTTTCTAGGATATATGAATCACTACGAAGGAAAATTATTTTATCGCGTGAGATTGACGAGATTGGAAACGACTATCATCAAGTATGAGCTATGCTACAAAGTACTGTACTCAGAGTTTACGAAACAAACTCAGATATAAGCAAAGGAAAAGCGAATAATATTGCTTATAGTCGAGAATATCTAAAATTGAACATCAGATTTTTTTTGTCTCCTCAATTCACGTATACTAATAGGCGTCATTCTTCTTATACATTTGTTCATTAGTGCACGACGGAAGGTCTTGCTATGTTCGTTCTTCAATCACTTCAATTGATATTAAAATGTACCATTGAAATGTGCAGAACTGAAGCAATTATACGCAGGAAACTATTTTCATGTAGGAGGGTAGGAACTGCTTTACTCTTCTTATATTTCCGAACTTAGATTTAAATACGCGATATTTGGTACTCGTTTCTGTGTGTTACATTACGTAGAGATAATGCAGGCTTATGGTAGTTAAATTTAGGGATAGGATACTAGTTCGATGAGCTCGATGCTAGCTGGTTGCGGTGAGAAATATGACCACCATATTTCATATTTAAGA